AGATGTTGCGACTTGTAGCCTGGTAGCTTTCCGACGTTTCAGAGGTGCTTGCTACCTCCAACATCACTCTGATAATGAAGGCAGTAATAATCTCTGAAACGTCGATAAAATTCTACCAGACTGTACGTCGCAGTATTCCAGAAGACAATCATCTTCACACCTGTCGCCGTGACATCAAATCTCACCTTGCAGATATTTAGTTTCTGCAAAATTTTAATCAGAAAATTCACTGAAACATCTAACCAAAACAACTTTGAATCTTAACAGTGTACAAATTAGTTGTAAATATAAACCACATGTTGAACTGTGGCTCATTTTTAAAAGAACTGTACCCACATTTAAACTTCTCACGTGAACTGAATCCTGCAACCAACAATAAATTGTCTTTGAAGAAGGACGTATGTAAGATCTGAATTGCGGTAATAAGTTGGTGCAGTTTGTGGCTTCCACAGCCTGCAGTGAGAGAGGGGTTGCTTCTGTAAAGCAAACCAGGACAATCAGTGTCTCATTACAAATTGATCAGCAATGCCCCCTTTAACACCGACGTAACTCCAAACCAACTGAGGTTTCGGTCAACTGCACTCGTAACGGTGTGTTAATAAATAAGAAGTAGAATTAACTTCAAGTGGCTTACGATTCCTTACACCGAAACAGCCACCTTCGAGGACAAGACAGATAAATAAATACCAGTTTATTTCAAAACAAAAGTCAGAAGTCAGACATTGAGTTACTGAAGCACTAATGAACTGAAGCTCATCAACTGTCTGTACCGCCATTAACCTCGAATCAGAAACACAGCATGCAGTTAGTCCAGACGTCTTCCGTCGATAAATTCGAGGGCCATCACAACTTAGAAATTTCTACCTTTCTGTTGAATTTATAAAATCTATAAGCTACTATACATTTGGAGGATAAAAAAACCTTGTGTGATCATTGTAATACATATGACTACAGAGAACATTAAACCCAAAACATTTCTCTGTTTAGATAAGCCTTATACTCTTTAAAAGGCTAAAGATGGAAATTAGCATATGACAACAGAAGAACGGAAGAAGGTAATCTACATTTTCGCTGTGTTTAGAATATACAAGCACATGTTTGTAGGTTTCTTATGCAATTATAGTGATTTTACTGCTGTTTTACTGGATTTAGCCTCCATAAGTTAGTTCAATATTATAATTAACATTTAATATAAACATATGTGTACACGTATTATCAATAGGAGTATAAAATATCAATGGGTACATGCACGTAATTATATAAATTAAATTCTAATGCATGTACAGAATAGCACATAGAAACAGATCATGAAAGAGACCGCAACTGCAGCCTGTTTTAGTATTTAAAGAATTACTGCTTCTGTGACTCTGTAACGGGGAGAATGTCCCGAACTCTTCCACACATTTGAAGTACGCATAAATTTCGAAGCAGACGCACCAGTTCTTTATTTTCCCTTTACAACTATAAAATGTTTAACTCTGTGGTGAAAGTAACAGAAAACTAATTATACCCCAGTGTTGAAAAATGCATCAGGCAAAGAACGGAATTTAACCTAATCCATTCTGGCTTTTGTTTAAATTAACTCGTCAGAAAGTTTCCATGGCAACCTAGGCCCCGGCACCTATTTCAGAAAATACAATTATTTGGTACGCGGCAAGAAGGGCTTCAGTCCATACTAATTACGTTTGACATAAGCGCTTCCTACACAGCACCAAAGAATTTTCGTTCCCTTCTGCAGGAATTAGGCCATCTGGCCTCTTAGTTTTAGTAGCAAAAATAGTTATCGTTAACTCTACAGAGAAGGCAGGAGACATTTCTTAATTTTTAAACTTACAACAAATGTAGCTCAAAAGGTTCAGAGTTACTTTAAATAAAGCATGTAAAGTATAAATAAAACTCTTATTAAGAGACTGTGGGGAGTGGACCCTCAATAAAAGTGCACTGCTTTGAGCATAAAGTCGCTTTTTCTATATTTTTATTTCAAGTAATTCTAAAAAAGAACGCGTCCAGGGCGATAAATAAGTCTAAAGCAGTTTCGTGTGCCACGAGAGAATTTAACAAAATGTCTCCCGTTAGTTTTTTTTTTTGCAAACATGAAAAGTATAGTGTATGTATCCACAGACCGTATTGTAATACCGAGAAAGTAGCCAAATATTTTCCCCTTCTTCCTCCACAGACAGCGATATCGCACCAAAATACGTCCTTGCCATGCTTTACAAATGCGACCACACTACACAACCAAACCTCACTTCAGCATTCGAGAAACACAATTCGGACCGTATCTTACTCCGTTCTATGATAAATAAATGAAAATGTCGTAAGCAGGGAAACACGACACAAACAGACATTTTTATCTCTCCCTTTCAAGACGAAATATTATTCGAACAGCACAAAACTTTCAATCACCGGTAAGAGAGGTTGGGAGGAAACGTGAAGGGTAGATCCGTTAGCGCTAGATAAGGAACAAACTTTGCAGTTACGTCGCTCCTGAAATGTTGGTTTCGAGAGAAGATCTTAACTTCATATCTTCAGGAATATCGTATATTAAATCCGCTCTTGAACTTGCGTCAATATCCTATCCAAGATGAGAGGTGATAGACAAACTCAATGCTCGACGTACAACTTCAAAATTTCCTGCAATCGGAAGACGCAGTGCTAGGATGTTTCGCTGGTTTAAATGCCACTTTATAGGTTAATCGCTATTTTCCGGTTTCAATGTAGACATGTGACATGTGAAATTTGACTGCCGCAACGCACAATAACATCAAGTTAGCTCAATTATCTGAATTTTACATCCCGTATGTAAATTCATACGACGTACAACTTGAAAGACAAACGAACGACAGTATGATGTGATTTTGCTACGGACTGTAGTGACGCGTATCAGAGTTAACTGTTAGTACACGCGTCTCTGTTTAAACGGGGCATACGAAATACCAGAAGAAACATTATTATTTCCCAGATTTAATTTTTCATTTATTAAAACTTTATGATTAACACAGCTACGTAAACGCGTAGGTTACCGACTGATTTTAAAAGTCACACAGTGTATGAAATACAGAGATTACAGTCACCCATGAGGAGTCTGCCAAACTTCGTGTGGTCATTAATCAAGTGACTTTGATAAAATGACGTACTAACACGGATCAAACTGGGAACATTTAACGAGCAAAGGTAGTTTGAAAGCCAGTTAAAGAAAATATTGAAAACTCTCAAAATATCTTCAATGTTAAAAATAATTTTTTCTTTAAAAGAGATCATGTTATAAATACAATATATCTGAGCTCTGAAATAATTAGAACACATTACTTGGACGTTATAATAAATACTGGAAGGCAGCTTCTCCTGACGCTTAACTTAATTCAGAGTTTGGATAATAATACAATGACTTTTCCGGTCATAACTGATCATGGCATATATATATTTCAATGTTTTGTATTCCACTCATCTCATTAGATGCTATGCATAGAATATATTGCGTACAAGTATTGCCCTTTTTGATATGAGCTTATTTCCTTCATGATAAAAGCTATGAGAGGAATCTCTTCTACAGTTTGTCATCAGTTGTTCTAGCATTCGCAGAATTCCGGAAACTGCTTATAAAACCGGAAATGTCCTTTCAATGTTAAATGTGCTCAACTTATTTGCTTCCCTTTCCGGGCATGAATCAGCACAATCAATGGCATTTTCCGAAAGCCATCAAAGAGCTCCTGTAAATTGTACAACTTATGTAGACTTTCTGGCTTCTTTCCATTATGATGAACGAAGAAACCAATTTTGCAATAGACAGACAGTTTTAATATCTACCATTATTACCTTTGACTCAATGAGTTTCTGAAATCTGAAAAACCAGTTAAATTGCGAATTGCAGCCTCTTCTGAAACCACTTCTCCATGACACTGATATTTGAACTAGGGTTTTATTGCATTCCCCTTTGTATTTAATTACTTTGTTTGCGGAACCCCACATCAAAAGAGAGTTACTGCCGCATTACAACTGATCAAACTCGTTAATGATCTCATAAAATCCCTTATCTTCAACTAATAGGTTAATAACGTTCGGCATAATGGCAAAAATTTAAGCAGATTAATTATCGCAAAAGAATTATAAGTACGCACAGCATATTACTTTTAACACGACGGATATTTTCAGGCAACCACAACCGTATAAAATTTGCAGAGGATAAACAAAACATGGAAAGTTACATCATAATAATGTGATTCATTTATTTATTTATTGTAACGCCATTACGAGTAGCCTTATGGGCTTATAAATGACTTCTGTGACGAGGTTACGACCCGAAGAGCATTCGAGCTGCATTAGTTCGGGCTTTTTGTCAGAATTTACTTTGAGAATCTTAAAAAAGGCTGTAAACAAAACAACAAAGAACCTCGTACGCCGTCTAAATTGACCTAAACACAACTTTCTAAGACAACACCGCGGCAGATATTAACGTTGAGACTTATAAATCGATAAACGGGTCACATGTTTTATTATTTAGTATCTATATTTTAAAATCGGTTCTGTTATTATTTTATCAGCATGTCACTTACCAAGCAGCTCAATTATCTTGCTGCGTGAACCATCTCATCACATGCAAAATTTATTTCGATAATACTGTCTATGACACCGACTTACATTCTACTTTCAAACGTCACCAGAATACGAATTTTTGTTAAATAAAAACATCAATTATTTATGAATGCAAATGTGCTGATCCAGAAAGTTCTCGGACATAGTTGCATTAAGTATTCGAACTACCAAATGGAAATTCGATTTATCCAACACATTTAAAACTTTAAACAAACAACAGCCTCTCTTAAAGTTTGTATCGTTTTGTCATTAATAATGCATAACCTTCTTCTCGGAAAAACTGTGAAACAGTGCAACAGTACTGCATTTTCTCAAACAGTATGAACTAATATGCAACTAAGTCTCAATTTGCAATTACATATGCTAATCATTTCTAACTTATAAACTACAGTAAATATTATATTTACATTTTATGTTGGAGTGCTGATGAATTTTCCTCTATGAAATCTTCAGGGAAATTTGTAGAGTTTTATTAGTTGTGCTGAGGATTGTGTTAGGTAAAATCAAATAAACAAGGCCACACAGCACGACTTCGGAAGGCTTCCGTGATTATTATTGCATTTTTTTGTAATAAGAATTGATTTTATACGGCTATATCGAACACTGCCAGTAGCTCACGGTCACGGCCTGCAGCAGTGAAAAGGAAACAAAACACGACTGAGGGACGTATTGTGTGTCTAATTGTAATAAAACTTACAATCCTACAACACATGCAGAATGTTGCATTTTCGCCCCCTAGTCTATGCCAACGCCAAACCTACAAATGTCTGTTTATTCTAACACAACATATATCTTTCTAGGACACACGACAAATTTATGTTATATTTGGTAACTACTTGTTTTCAGTAATAATGCAACCCGTATATTTGGAAAGCACGTTATTTTTTTGTATGACAGAACCCAATGTCCTGAATTGTTTCAGATGCAACCAAGACTAAATTTTGCCACTCGTCAAGTGTTAATTTGTAAAAGAACTAGTCAATTTAACACTAAAATACACCACGAGTACCTAAAACAAAGACATCTATTTTCTTCTTATCCTGTTAAATTTCATACGTAAGTGAATATAAAAACACTACTGATCACGAGTTTAATTGCTGTTTATGACCTGTATAAAAGTGTTTACCCACGGTATGAAAACACATACACAGAAAATAAGCACTTATAACACTTATACACACTTGCGACAACGAGACACTGCGAAACACGAAAAGGAAGAAGCGGTTAGGCAACGTATGGCACGAGTGAAGCTCCAAGAGGAGGTCCGGGGTTTGGGGCCGGATTAGGGCAGGACCAGTACAGTCAGCAGTGAGGAGAATACACACAGGAGTTAGCGGGGCGAGGAGAAGAGGCCTTCTCTGCGCCGGCCTGCATCCCCTCACCCCCTCACCCAATTGCAAAGAACCTTCCGATTCCCGGCAAACAAACTCCTGCGCAATAGCGCGTGATATCTGTCGTTCTTATGTTGCGCCCGAAAATGAACCGACGTGCAATATAACGGGTCTTCATGTTAAAATCCCTCAGATAGCAACACACAAGATGCCGCGTGTTAAATGTGTTGCGTTCTTTGTACTCAGGGGTCCAGTGGGCAGGTACAGCGAATCAAGGTTTGGTTCTTAAGACGGCGGGAAACTTAAGAGAACCAGAGGGGAATACTCTTTACACGCGACTAAACTGCGCGCGGAAGTGGGTCAAGACGAATTTTCACATCTGTCGTGTCTCATATTTATGTTCACCATTTATGCATTTCTAGAGACTTTTTAACCCTATATTACCTCAGCATATGACACAACAACCATAACTAACATAGGATAACACAAAATAAGTAATTTTTATCTTTAATTTTTTATGAACACTAAATACTCACATTTATAGGCTCTTTACAGATCTTTAGAATTGTCAGTAACCCGAAATAACAATGATAAATATTGTGATCTGTATACAAATAAAAAAAGTTATTGGGTTTATGACTCCCTTTTCAAAGTTGTATACGATGTTCATGGAGGCAGTATAGAAATATGTTTTATTGAAACTGAGCTTTATTAAACCCCCACGATCGCAGCTTGTCTGAATTTAATATCTGCCATCACGGCATACGATAAGAAATGTTAATCGGAATAAATACAGCAGTAATTTAAACCACAGACTTTTACAGAAAAGTTTAAAGGCGACAGAACTCTGGCTACCAAATGTCTTGTACAGCAACGACTTAAAAATGCTTCGAATTTACGAACATCAATTCTTAGAGTTGATTATCAAGGCAATAAGGTACAAATGTATGGCTTATTTTTAATGTTCCAAAACTGGGCAGTATTTTGAATGACATATTTAGTCTGTGTGAGATTTGAAGTTCTCACGGCAGTAAAGATGCCTATATTCGTTTTCTGGGTTCTAAAGCTGTGTGGACTTCGAAGTAAATACCAGCGTTTTGGGAAAACATACTGTTTCGACCTTCAGCTCTAAAGGTGGAGACAGCATGTTTTTACATCTTCTGGGTTCAAGATGGAGACAGTAATTTTCTCCGAAATGCTAGTATCTACCAGAAGTCCACACGACGTTATAGCCCAGAGTACCAACGTAACATACATTCAGCGTGAATGTGTTAAAGGACAGGCAAGCACAATCTCCTCTTGACTTCTGCCCTTGAAGATTACTGCTTTAAAAGACGGGTTTGGTTTGTTCTTGCAGAGTTTCCTCACCTCCTCAGTGAGAAAAGCGATAAGATTCTCAGTGATAATAAATCCATCACACGAAGAGTCGATTCTGTTTCAAAATCGGTTACCATCTACAATCTTGTATGTTTTATGATACACAGGATTCTTTCAGTTTAACTTTTTACGAAGATGTGTAAACATGTGCTAAAAGGCAATGACAGAAACTGTTCAGAAACTTTGTTAAATCAAACTCAAACAAACTTTGTAATCCATGCCCAAAACGTCCAAACTGACGCACTGATGGGTCAAAAATCATCTATGGCAGGAAAGCAGTCACACATCATTTGCAGACATGTTCATACTTTGCTTCAGAAAAAATTCCATGTCCTCAAGGCTGACTGCTCAGATTGATGCTTTCGTGATTTTATTTAGTAGCTCCAGGCAACTTTCAGCATACGTAAACTCTGTCATTACAGTGTAAGATCCATCAATCACATCTTGACACGGATAGACTTGGAAAGGCGCATAACATCCACATGGCTTACCCAGAATTACGATCATGACAGAAAAGACGAGAAGAGAATCCAAGGAAATAACTTGATGATATGAATGACCCTTTCTTGAAGACAGCAAGTAATCTTCCAGAAATTTTTGGTTTTCATGGTTGCATTTCAACCGAGAAGATGGAGACAGTACGTTTCCAAAATCCTTATATCTACCTACGCGTCTACATGGAATCGCAGTGTACATTCGGCAGACTGCTAGGAAGATATTTTCTAGTACAGTCTGAGTCATATATAACATGCCACATAGGCCTATTATTTAGGGGACTTTATACACACAAGCCACAATCGGTCGTAATATTTTATTGCTCAACGCTTTTGTAGTTAACAGATTGGAAGTTTACGCGAACAGAGTCCGATCACATGTCTTATAATCTTTATGGAGACGTAAATTGAAGCACTTTCGACCTATATATTGCAGTCGTTGTACGAAAATACATAGTGTAGATTTAATTTATAACTTTGATTTTAGATTAGATATTTTGGACACTATTCTACTGGTAACGTACCTATGAGTGGGCAACTAACTCTGAACACTTGTTTTTAAAAATAAAAGAGTCTTCAAACTCTTTACACTAATTACATTCCTCAATAATCACCTAACATTTCACATTCGGCTCTATTATCAAAATTAACAAAATGGTAACAACACAATGAAACAAGACTCTGCACGTCCACGATCTACTATGAACGCGCACAAAACATTTTTAAGTGTTAAATCTCAACAATAGTTACCCTAATTGCGTTATTTCGCAGATTTCATAAGTCCGATCGAAAAAAATTTCTTCCGGATATCATGAAACACAACATTTATTCATTGACTCTTAACTACTCATCTTATTGTTACTAAAACAAAGGAACGTAATGCAATCCAATACCTTCTTCACGTATAGATTCAGGGGGCCTTGACTTCTTATTACAAACTAATCAATAAATGCAATGAATATGATACGATATGTGATGAAACAGGCCTATATTTGTTGGCTGATTGGTGATGATGTTTTATAATCACTATTGTCAGCTGAAGGATACGAAAGTCCTGTAGAAAAAAACAAGATAATCTTGGTGCAATATAAAGAAGGACATTTACAAACAAACTTCCACTAAAAAAAAGTGTTTTCCAAAGACATTTTTAATTAAAAATTTAATCAAAAACACTATTTACTGTCAATCAGTACGGGATCCGTGCATGCGTGATCCGTAGATTGGGTACTGTTGTTAGATTTTTCAATAAGCACTGCCTTAGATTTTCCAGCCATTACTGACACGCAGCTTTCTAGTAGGCTCTATAAATATTTTGTAACTATATTCCTTTACGGACGAAAAAAATATATAAAGGCTGTTATTATCTCAATCCAAGTAAACTAAACTGTGCAAGTAATGTATTAAAACAGGAAATATATTATGTAGATTAATTCACATCTATTATTATTTCATAGAGAAATATAAAGGCGCTCAATACAATTCTCTTCATAAAAAATGTAATGGAATTTTCCGTACACGTTGTGCGCTGAATGCCATAAACGACTGTCACTGTGCAGTTGACTGTGTCTGCCGTCAATCCACTTTGTACACGTTCTTTGCAAAAAGGGCGTAACATATGTAATGTGTGTCCTTCAGTTGGTCTGCATATTCAATGTACGAATCTAATCGACATTTTCCTATAAGTCTGTTATTAGAGATAAAAATGTGCTGACTTTATCAAAAATAACTCTTGGCACAAAAGAAAATGTAGACCTCGTTTGTGACATTTTTAGATTCTATGAATGTTTAATGGAATAATTGTCTAACTCCATGGAAGAGAGACCTTCCTTGACAAGGTCCTTTCCCCGAAATGTTGTTATCACCGATAAGATATTCCAATGACCCTTACCGGTATAGTCATTACATATAATTTCGTAAAAACTGGTCGTTTGCTTGAAAATTTGGTAGGACGTCACACAGACAGCACGATCTCATACATTGTATTTCCCTTACAAAAGGAAAGAAGGCTAAAACTTCTGGTATGTTGACGAATAATATTATATTTGACTCCAAAAACAGTGCGTATAAATAACGTATTAGGGCCTATACTGAACACAATGTAAAATCTCCATTCTGATCGTAAAGTAATATACTGATATATGTAATGGGATACATTATTATTCAATACGGATAGACATCTAGCAAGAGAAATGCAACCTCCAATTTCGGAACTGACGGGTGTACGTATTTTATATTCAAATATTACCACATCTGAGCGTTTCGTAAAACCGAAATGCTTTATCTGGTAACGACCACTCTAGGGCCAGCCAAATAAATAATTCAGTCTGAAGTCCGCGTGTTATCAACCTGAGCTCACTGGCATGTATGTTTTAGACAGTTGACACGGAGTTTTGATAAGCCGTATTACCATTTCAACAGACAGGATTAGTATTCCCTGAAAAGATGGGGTGAGAGTGAGGTTAGATGACGTATTAAAAGGTTACGACAGACCAATTTGTTACAGCTGAAAGCAGAAATATGAAAGTTTCGCTTATGCTGAAAATCGGTATTCAGAATTCTGGAAACATACGGGTACAATATCGGTTTGTTTGGTATTAGCAGTTGCAAACATTTTCCTTCAGGTTTACAGTGACCATGCCAAACTTCTATAATATAAGCTCACGTATATATATATACACACACGAATAAATACGTTAAAAATAAAGAAAAAACACTCCCATATGTGCTTTAAAAGCATCTGGACCTAAATTTAATGAAATATTTATCTTACAACTCTACAATAAGCCCACAAATAACACTCTTAGTCTGGCAGCGCTTTAATTTCACATAAAAATTAAAACAAAGCTCATCGTTACTTTTCCATCTTCGCCTGTGGCTGCGTATGTGATGAATGTTACAGTATCTCAGCTACCGGCCTGCCCTTTCCGTAGTCATTTTTGTCACTGAAGATGTAAAGGATTTTAAGTGTAACCTCATAAATAAAACGCTATAAGCAGAATAAAATTCTCTTCGTCTCATTTATTCCAATTGCCTCTTCCCACTAAATTAACAAAGGGTGAAGAACGTTTACATTTTTCTCCTGAATGGAGAATAACTGAT